TAGATCAGTGCACTAGGAACTATAGAGGTTCTCTTAATACAACACCATGGGAGTTGGCAGCATCCGCCCATACAATGAACACCATCTATTTTTGGTTTAAGGAAAATGGAAAACCCAGGAAGTGTGGAGAAGAACAGCGCTGAATTTCTGACAAGATCAACTGTTTTTTGCACTTGTCAGATATAACAAATTGTTTCCAACAATATATTGAACAGGCCAAAACAGAACAAAGAAGACAAGTTCTTTTCTAGGGTTTACATAAACTTTAAAATTCTCTTAGCTTAGTAAATAATGTTAAGTTGTGTTCACTTTAAAACCCAATTATGTGAAAGAGAAAATAAAAACAATAAAACTGCCATGTCACCAGTATTTTTCACCCATCAGGCAGGGAATGGCAGCTTTTTTTCCTAGGCTGTGATATGGGTTATGGAACAATTCTGAAGGCGCCCTGTCCTGTGGATGACCATGGTTTTCCTAACGGTAATGGTTTAATGTAACATGACTGATGCACTTTACTTCTGTATTGTCGGAAACCTAGTTTCTGTATTGTATAAAAATGTGAAAATCTTTAGTACAGTATGTACAGAAAACAGTTTTTATTCGAGCACATGACTGGATAATGAAAGCAACACATCTTCACATAATTCACCAAGTACAGTGCAAAGACTTGCATCAGTAAATCAACCCCACTGTCTCAACAACTTCTTTTTCTTTATAGAATACCTGAGTTTAACAATAGAAACACTGCATTTTACCCTGTTTTAAGTCACAAATCTAAGGAACCTGTATAGAAGAGGTGACGACAAACTTTGCAAGGGCTACACAGTATTTACTTAACCAAATAAAATACAATTTTTATATGTTGAAGAAGTCTGACGTGATGGTTAAGCCCATGATGAAAACAGTAATGAAACCAAGGTTTGTTAAAAATACATTTCACACAAAATGGGGCTAATCAAACCAAGCAAATGATAAAAATAATGCAAATGCAGAGGTTAGCTTCAGTGAAATGTATCTGTGAAAATAACCACCAGATCCAGACATGCAGGCAGCTAAAGCTATAATGGAAGTTTTGACTTCTCTGGCCAAAATCAAGCTTAGCCACACACCTAAGCTTTCTTCTACTGGTTAATAAGGCCAGAAATTAATATAGGACTGATAGAAATGCTCAGGATGCAACAGGTACAGAGCAAAGTTTAATGTTTCAGGAAAAGATTTTGACCTCAGGTGCCTACAGTAAAAGAAATAAGTATTTGATCCCCTGCTGATTTTGAATGTTTTCCCACTCACAAAGAAATGATCAGTCTAAAAAATCAAATGGTAGGTGTATTGTAACACAGAGACAGAATAGCAACAAAAAAATTCTAAAGAAATGCATGTCTAACAAATTATGCACTGATTTGCATGTTCATGAGGGAAATAAGTATTTGATCCCCTATCATTCAGCAGGAATTTTGGCTACCAGTTGTCTTTCATAAAGGTAACAAGCTGAGATTAGAAGCTGTCTCTTAAAGGGAGTACTGCTAATCACATTTTGCTACCTGTATAAGAGACACCTGTCCACAGGAGCAATCAAACAATCAGATTCCAAACTCTCCACCATGGCAAAGACCAAAGAGCTGTCCAAGGATGTTAGGGACAAGATTGTAGACCTACACAAGGCTAGACTGGGCTACCAAACTATTGCCAAGCAGCTTGGTGAGAAGGTGACAACAGTTGGTTCAACCATTCGCAAATGGAAGAAACACAAAACAACTGTCAGTCTTCCTAGGTCCGGTACACTATGCAAGAGCTCACCTCGTGTCTCAATGATCATGAGAACAGTGCGGAATCAGCCCAAAACTACACGTGACGATCTTGCCAATGATCTCCAGGCAGCTGGGACCACAGTCACCAAGAAAACAATTGGTAACGCACTACACCGACAAGGATTGAAATTCTGCAGTGCCCGCAAGGTCCCTCTGCTCAAGAAAGCACATGTCCAGGCCCGTCTGAAGTTTGCCACTGAACATCTGAATGATGCAGAGGAGGACTGGTTGAAAGTGTTGAGGTTAGATGAGACCAAAATCAACCTCTTTGGCATCAACTCAACTCACCGTGTTTGGAGGAGGAGGAATGCTGCCTATGACCCCAAGAACACCATTCCAACTGTCAAACATGGTGGTGGAAACATTCTGCTTTGGGGGTGTTTTTCTACTAAGGGGACAGGACAACTGCACCGCATCAAAGGGACGATGGACGGGACAATGTACCATCAAATCTTGGGTGAAAACCTTCTTCCCTCAGCCGGGACATTGAAAATGGGTTGTGGATGGATGTTCCAGCATGGCAATGACCCAAAACACACGGCCAAGGCAACAAAGAAGTGGCTCAAGAAGAAGCACATTGCCAAATGTCAGCCACCAAACCTTAATGACTTGGAGAGAATCTGCCAAAAGGAGTGGGCCAAAATCCCTCCTGATATGTGTGCAAACCTGGTGGCCAACTACACGATACGTCTGACCTCTTTGATTGCCAACAAAGGATTTGCCACCAAGTACCAAGTCATGTTTTGTAAAGGGGATCAAATACTTATTTCCCTCATGAACATACAAATCAGTGCATAATTTGTTAGACATCCATGAATTTTTTGTTGCTATTTTGTTTCTCAGTGTTACAAATACACCTACCATTCGATTTTTAGACTGATGATTTCTTTGAGTGGGCAAACATTCAAAATCAGCAGGGGATCAAATACTTATTTCCTTCACTGTATATGTATGGATCTACTTTGTACTGGCATGCATTTTTTGGGTATTCATATTTTTTTAGTTTGAAATACCCAGGTTTGTGAATGGTTTTCATAAAAACACATTGAAACAAGTCATTGGATCCACACATTAATCATACTTTTCCAACAAAAATGGCTTCTTATAATATACAGCATGTCAGCTAACCAGTGAATTTTAAAACAGTGCTTTCCCTTTTTTCAGGCATGTCTACTAGTCACAGTTGTCTTGTCTATTGAAAGCAATGCAGCAGAACTCGTCAAATTATTCTTGTAGTACAGCTGCTAAGACTTTAAGGATCAAAGAAAGGAAATACTTTTCACTCCTGGTCTGAAGGTATGATAATTGAAAGAGGGTTAGAAATGCTGAGAAGACACCTGAAAAAAAAAAAAAAAAAAACTGGGACCCAGTTTTTTAAAGGAAAATATTTGGTTTTGACTTCATACAGTGTCTTGCTTTTATAATCAGGCTGTATAAAATATTCAAAGTTGATAAAAAAATATATATAAAAGTATCGTATGAATTCTAGAGCTGGGCACAGAAATGTCTATGTTTCAGGTAATCCATCAAAAGGTTATGTGCCATGTACATGCATTCTTTAAAAATAATTATGAACTATGAGAACACATAGCTCTGAATTGAAAATTTCCTTCCATCAGACTGGGATCTGAGAGCCCAAGGAAAAGATATCCTAACTCATTAAAAAAAAACTTTATTTTTTGTGTAAGCATTTACCAGAGGGAAAAAAAAAGTTTTATAATTTGCTCATGATTTGCTCATATATGGACATTAGAAAAATGTAGAACACATGAGATATGTAAGGCGACAATCTTGTAACAGGACTGTTTCATATATGCAAGTATGGCAAAACGTTAGCTTTTTTTGATATATACTGTTTCCAATTCAAATTATGTACTGTATTATTATTATACCAAGTCCTATTTCATAGTTTATTTTTAATTTACATGAATGTATTTCAGTATACACACCTGTGTGTCTATCTGGATACAAAGATAAGGGATAATATTGTAGTTATCCTTCAGGTAATATGTGGCCTCTGACATAATATAGATTTTAATACTTGCATTTGTAGGTGTTTAAATATCCCAGCCTGCAATTTACTTTTCATGAAGTTTTATCTCTCTATCTGGTGTTTTTGTAATTTCCAGCTTTGGTTAATATTTTATTGTATTCTTTAACTTCAGAACTGATCATATTTTTGTTACACAAATTATGTTATAAATATTAAAAAGAAAACTTTGGGGAAAAAACAGCTTGGACTTTTCTTAATACAAAAGTACCCAGCATTGCTATTTTTTCTGATGTAATTATCTGCACCGATGTTCACCAAATATCAGTACCTATTTTTAGCCAATCTGAAAGGTTTAGCACATACAATAGTCAATTTAAAAAAATTTACACTAGATGCTTACACATTTGTTGCAACCACTGCATAATTGGATACTACAGTTTTATTTACTTGTTATAAGTCTTGAAAGTTTATGCTAAATTTGCTCACGTTCTGTATATGAAGAAGTAATGTATTAATCCAGCTGCCAACAAGTCCTATTTTTATCAAATATTTACAGCCAAGTCCTCACTAACCATAACATGCTACCCAAGACTGTATATTTAGCTTTGGTAAAGTAAGCTTTTAAATTTGTTCAAAGCCAGACACTGCAGAACACTGGAAAACAATTGTTTTTAAAAACTGGTACAATCATGTGGCTCATCTCAGCATGTTTATCTAAAATATTGTATTGTCTACAATCCAAAAAGTTTTAAAATAAAGCAAAATAAAAAAAAAAATAAAAATTGAGGTAGTTTTTTTTTTCATTTAAAAACACTATTCAAAAATGCCATCCCCACTCCCAACAAAAGAATAACTAAATCTAAAAAAAAAGTACAAAATTAAAAACACAAAGTAGCAACACCATAACACTTATATTCTCATCCATACAGGAAGAGAGACCCTCCCATAAAAAAAAGGCGTAAAAATCCTAGGTCTGTAAACAGCAATGAAATGCAGAAACTGCATTTTTGTTTGTGCATCCATGTTGAAGATAATACATTCAACTCTGTCAGGAAATAAATAGATAAGAAAAGAGTGAAGAAAACAAAAAAAGCAAACATTTGGCTCCCATAAAGGGAGTAATTGTTTTTTTTTTCCTTTTTAACAATTCCAAAGCAGCCACTCTTGGCAGCTGTCTTTAAGCCATTTCCTCTGGATGCTTACTCCTTGCTGACATTTGTTTTGCATGAGTGAAGAAATGCTTTAAAAAGCAGAGGTAGTTGCTCCAGGGGTACATTCACCAGCTTCCCTGCAAAGTAAAAATATATTATTATTATTTTGATCATGAAGAGTATTATTACTACTATTAGTAATTTATAAAAAAAATAGATTATTTAAGAAACTGCTTTGCTTACTGCCAGGAAAAACAAAATGATTCCAAGCCTAGAGCTGCTCATCAACTGTGTGGAAAGCAAATGACTGAAAAAGTGTGGCTTTACCCCTGTTGGTTGTAAATGGTAGGAAATTTAGATTTACCTATTTTGTCACAGAATAAGGCTGGCTATACATGAATCAGTTTTTTTTTTTAATCACCCCCAAAAAAAACAGAACGGATTCCCCCATCCACACAAGTTTACCAACAAGTCGCTTCAAGAGAAGACTTCTCTGAAACAGTAATGGCCATAAATGGATGTAAAGCTGGCCAGTCCCCTCTGAACCAGCCACATTTTGATTCATCCATGGCCAGCTTAACTCAGGTGAGAGACCCCCATGAGAACAGACAGTTGCTGCTCTGTCAATTGTCTGATCTCATGCCGATACACTTTTTTCTTCTGTACATAACAGTTAAAATACCAAAAACATTCCAGCGTTACCATCAGACAAATTAGGTAAAGCTAAATAAGGGGCAAATATAAATCTCTAGTTAGATACCTTGCATAGTTATACTTCTTTAAATACTAAATTACAATTGATAGCACATGCACAATCACAATTAGTTCTCCTTAAAGTGCATAAGAAGAAAAAACAATCATGCAATTTTTTTTTCTTCTAAGAAAACTTTGATCTTCCTTCTGTTAGTGACCCATCGAGTGATACACCCCAGTATTCTATTCACTTCACCCACTGGCAGGCCACATCGTTTGCTCATTATGTATAATCGAAATAACCACTTCCAATATTTAATTCTTTAGATGTGTTCAACACTGCATTTCCCAAAATTGCACTCTAGCAGGGGATCATTCCCCCCCCCAAAAGCCCAAAAGAACATTATTTGCATTGTACTGCCGGTTCTACTGCTTTTACTGGCAGTGCCAAACCATGTTCCAAGTACCTGCAGGAATATAAAACCTGCTGCATACATTTGAGTCATCAAAGAAAAATACTTTGCGCCACCTCTTCATTTATAGCACTTACAAACAGATTAAATAAAACAGGACCTAGTACACAGCCTTGTGGTACACCACACTTTGATATCCATCCTTTTGCCAATTGCCAAGTCCCTACTTGTAAAACTTTATTTCATAATGTGGAACTGCATAAAAAAATCAATGCTGAAATCAAGCCTTTATCCAAAGCACCATCCATTTGTGATATAGTCAAAACTAAGATTAGTCTGACATGATCTGCCCTCATGCTGCTTTCTATCCAGCAAGGTATGTGTTTAGAAATGTTCACTGAGCATTTTTTTTTTTTGCAAATATATGTATTCAATTTTAAGACAATAACAAAATACCAGGCATCTATGACTGTATATGTTTCATCACAACGATGATAAGTGCATATTCATGTAAAATATCTTGAAACCGCAGAGCAATAGTCATACCTTAAGGAGACAGGCCAGATCCATTATATAGGAAACTATTAGCTATAGAGTATGTAGCAGATGTTCTAAACCCAGGACACTAAGAGCATACCTCATTCTAAGGTAGAGGCTTGGATTCGTATCCCTATTGCTGAAAAACAGAGGTGGTATCCTCATACCCCCACAACCAAAGTAAATCACTGAAGCCTGCTCTAGGAGGAAGGAGGAGTAACTCCCCACAACAGTATAGGAGTAAACAAGTCACGCAAAAACAAACTAAGCACTGGCAGCACTGAGGAAAATACAGAGGAAACAACAGTCAGTGAAGTTTTATTTGTGGGAATTTTGCCAAGGGAGTTGGAAAGGTCTGCTTTAAGATACCACTCATCAAATCAAAAAGATACATAAAAGTTGCTAGTTCAACAAATCAATGCGGTTCCTTTTAATCATGCCGATTGTGGGGGCTGAGGAGATTGTCTAAACCTTTGGGATTGATCTTCGAGCAGCTAGCAGGCATAGGTGAGTCAGCTTTGTTTTTTGTAATGATGTTCTTTATTTTACTACTACTCACTGGCCTGTGGTTGCCATCTTTTTTCGAACTACCCTTTTTGTGGCTAGGTACAGTACTATCTGTCCACCAGTCATTCTCTTGTTATTAGAGATTTATTTAAAAGTCATCTAATGGATGAATACAACCAGAATCCATTGCTTTATTAAGCTTTAAGTGAAACAGTTACTTACTCTAGAAACCCTGAAAATGAAACGTCTTCTGCCGGAACCAACAGGTCCTTTCACTTGTTTCTGTTAAGTGTCATTTACTTACAAGAAGGCTATACAAAATTGACTGTTTAAATGGTTTGCTGCATCAAGTTCTCCCTCAACATAAGTACTGTACCCAGTTTAAAATTTTTTGCTCCCATAGAAACTTTTATTCCTGTTACTAAGATACCTAAAGAAGGGTTTTGTCTACTTCCTTAACAGATCTTAGCCATTCTCTACCCATTTTTATACTTTAGCAGCCCTGATAATGTTTGTCTTCCTTCTGTCTGGTTTTATACACTTTTCTATCAGCTAGACCTTCTCTTTGTATCTCATTTATGTTGTTTGGATTTATGCCTTAAATTAATGTCTGTGAGCTGCGTGGGATTATGGTATACCTCATTTGAACTGATGCTGGATCACTAACAGAAGCATGATTGCTCCTATAGAAAGTTATAATCTATAAAGAAATGTTCACCTTTCTCTGTTATTAACCAACAGGCCAACCATTCTGAAATTATCTTTAACTTATATTATGTCAGTAAACTACATGTACAGTAGATTGTTTCAATTACAAGCAGTCCCCAGGTTATGAATAATATAGGTTCTGTAGGTTTTTCCTTAAGTTGAAATTGTAAGTTGGAACAGGTGTAACCGCATCATAAAAATTACTGTTGCGTTTTGGATAGCATAGCGAAGGGTTAACTGGCTAAGCAGAGAAAGGTTGGTCTAGCTGACTTGTCAGCAATGTGGGATTGCTGACAAGTCAGCTAGACCAACCTTTCTCAACTAGGGTGTCCAGGCACCCTGGGGTGCCTTGAGGTTTCTTCAGGAGTGCCTTGGTAAAATGTCTAAAAATTGCCCAAAACTTGTATTCAAGCCAGTGGGTAGAACAAGCTTACACAAAGCCACAGGTTTTCATTGTGCAACATTATGACCTTCTAGCCGCCAGTGTCCTGACAACCAATGGCATCATCAGTTGATAAGGAGGATATCAGCTGCCTTCACAGCATCCTAGTTTGCCACTCCCCTGCCCCTCTCCATCAGTTCTGGGGTCACATTAGCTCAGTGATAGATAAAAACTGAGGGAGAAGAGAAACACTGGAATACTACTCTAGTGTGCAAAAATGTATTTGCTTTGAAAGAATGAATCACCTCTAATGTTGGGTGGCCTACACATGTGGACGTTGCTGCATTATATAAATTTATTAGTTTTTCACATTTTAGAATGGAGTGCCTCAAGACTGTACATAATTTTAAAGGGTGCCTAGACAGTAGGTGGCAGCATGCGGTGAGCAGCAAGATGGCTGCCCCATGGCTTCTGGGACCAGCGTGACGTAACTCCCTCTGTGCTCAAGTACAAGTCGGATGTTTGTAACTCAGGGACTGCCTGTAATTAATTTTTTTGATAAGTCTGCAAATTGCTCTGGAACTCCCAATGTTCCAAAACCTTAACACAGTATTATAGAAATGTAACTACTGTATTTCTCGCTCCATAAGACATACCTGACCATAAGACAAATCTAGATTTTAGAGGAGGAAAACAAGAAAAAAAATTCTGAACCAATGGACTGCAGACATAGTACAGGAGATGACCAGAGACTGCAGACATAGTACAGGAGATGACCAGAGACTGGGGACATACTAGAGATGATCAGAGACTGCAGACATAGTACAGGAGATGGCCAGAGACTGCGGACATACTACAGGAGATGGCCAGAGACTGCAGACATACTAGAGATGACCAGAGACTGGGGACACAGTACAGGAGATGACCAGAGACTGGGGACACAGTACAGGAGATGACCAGAGACTGGGGACACAGTACAGGAGATGACCAGAGACTGCGGACACAGTACAGGAGATGGCCAGAGACTGGGACACAGTACAGGAGATGGCCAGAGACTGCGGACACAGTAGAGGAGATGGCCAGAGACTGCGGGCATAGTACAGGAGATGGCCAGAGACTGCGGGCATAGTACAGGAGATGGCCAGAGACTGCGGGCATAGTACAGGAGATGGCCAGAGACTGCGGACATAGTACAGGAGATGGCCAGAGACTGCGGACATAGTACAGGAGATGACCAGAGACTGCGGACATAGTACAGGAGATGATCAGAGACTGCGGGCATACTACAGGAGATGGCCAGAGACTGCAGACAGACATACTAGAGATGATCAGAGACTGCAGACATAGTACAGGAGATGACCAGAGACTGCGGACATAGTACAGGAGATGACCAGAGACTGCGAACATAGTACAGGAGATGACCAGAGACTGCGACATAGTACAGGAGATGACCAGAGACTGCGAACATAGTACAGGAGATGACCAGAGACTGCGACATAGTACAGGAGATGACCAGAGACTGCGGACATAGTACAGGAGATGACCAGAGACTGCGGACATAGTACAGGAGATGACCAGAGACTGCGGACATAGTACAGGAGATGACCAGAGACTGCGAACATAGTACAGGAGATGACCAGAGACTGCGGACATAGTACAGGAGATGACCAGAGACTGCGGACATAGTACAGGAGATGACCAGAGACTGCGGACATAGTACAGGAGATGACCAGAGACTGCGGACATACTAGAGATGATCAGAGACTGCAGACATAGTACAGGAGATGGCCAGAGACTGGGGACATAGTACAGGAGATGACCAGAGACTGGGGACATAGTACAGGAGATGACCAGAGACTGCAGAAATAGTACAGGAGATGACCAGAGACTGGGGACATAGTACAGGAGATAACCAGAGACTGCGGACATACTAGAGATGATCAGAGACTGCAGGACATAGTACAGGAGATGGCCAGAGACTGTGGACATAGTACAGGGAGATGGCCAGAGACTGCAGACATAGTACAGGAGATGACCAGAGACTGGGGACATACTAGAGATGATCAGAGACTGCAGACATAGTACAGGAGATGTCAGAGACTGCGGACATACTACAGAGATGGCCAGAGACTGCAGACATACTAGAGATGACCAGAGACTGGGGACACAGTACAGGAGATGACCAGAGACTGGGGACATGGTACAGGAGATGACCAGAGACTGCGGACACAGTACAGGAGATGACCAGAGACTGTGGACATAGTACAGGAGATGGCCAGAGACTGTGGACATAGTACAGGAGATGACCAGAGACTGTGGACATAGTACAGGAGATGACCAGAGACTGCGGGACATAGTACAGGAGATGGCCAGAGACTGCAGACATACAGAGATGATCAGAGACTGCAGACATAGTACAGGAGATGACCAGAGACTGGGGACATAGTACAGGAGATGACCAGAGACTGCGAACATAGTACAGGAGATGACCAGAGACTGCGGACATAGTACAGGAGATGACCAGAGACTGCAGACATACTAGAGATGATCAGAGACTGCAGACATAGTACAGGAGATGGCCAGAGACTGGGGACATAGTACAGGAGATGACCAGAGACTGGGGACATAGTACAGGAGATGACCAGAGACTGGGACATAGTACAGGAGATGACCAGAGACTGGGGACATAGTACAGGAGATGACCAGAGACTGGGGACATAGTACAGGAGATAACCAGAGACTGCGGACATAGTACAGGAAATGACCAGAGACTGCGGACATACTAGAGATGATCAGAGACTGCAGACATAGTACAGGAGATGATCAGAGACTACAGACATAGTACAGGAGATGACCAGAGACTGCGGACATAGCACAGGAGATGACCAGAGACTGCGGACATAGCACAGGAGATGACCAGAGACTGCGGACATAGCACAGGAGATGACCAGAGACTGCGGACATAGCACAGGAGATGACCAGAGACTGCGGACATAGCACAGGAGATGACCAGAGACTGCGGACATAGCACAGGAGATGACCAGAGACTGCGGACATAGCACAGGAGATGACCAGAGACTGCGGACATAGCACAGGAGATGACCAGAGACTGCGGACATAGCACAGGAGATGACCAGAGACTGCGGACATAGTACAGGAGATGACCAGAGACTGCGGACATAGTACAGGAGATGACCAGAGACTGCGGACATAGTACAGGAGATGACCAGAGACTGCGGACATAGTACAGGAGATGACCAGAGACTGCGGACATAGTACTGGAGATGACCAGAGACTGGGGACATAGTACAGGAGAAGACCAGAGATTTCGGACATAGTACAGGAGATGACCAGAGACTGCGGACATAGTACAGGAGATGACCAGAGACTGCGGACATAGTACAGGAGAAGACCAGATATTTCGGACATAGTACAGGAGATGACCAGAGACTGTGGACCTTTGGTGAGGAAGGGGGGTACCCGAATTTCACAGGTATCCGCTCCCACTTCCACGGAGTTGTCCTCCCCCTCTCCCTCCCTGTAGTCTTGTGAAACACGTGATAGATCCCACATGACTACAGCCCATTCACAAAGCGCGGCGCTTCTGTGCATGAGCAATGGGCACTCGGCTGTGAAGCCGCAAGATGCTGGCACCTGGGAGAGAAGACGGCCGATGGAAGCAGGACACCGCTGGACCGAAGAACAGGTAGGATGGAGGAGCATGTTCTTCTTCACAGTAGAGCCGAACAGCCGGCCCAGTATTCTAACACGGCGGCAGGAATACCGGGCTGGCAGCTCCATTTTCGCTCCATAAGATGCACAGACATTATCCCCCATTTTTTTGGGGGGAAAAAAGTAAATCTTATGGAGTGAAAAATACATATTTGGAAAACACAAACATATTGGAGATATAGCCAGAGTTGTGAGCATTCTATCTATATTACAATATAGGTTTGATGGCATGAGATATGTAGATGTCATTCTTACCCGCAATGTAGCGGACCTCAGGCAAACACATCATTAGATCTGGAAATCTGTTGGGTTGGTGTGGATACCTATACTCTGTGAAGTCCTGGCACACGTACCAGTACCTCTTGTTCAGCTGCTCCAGTTGGGAAACGCTGCTGAGACCTTGAATATCTGTTAAAACAAAAATGTCTGTTAGGATCGGTATGGTAACTGGAAGGATCCTATGTAGGCATGCATTCCTAAAGATTTTTTTTCCACTTTAATCTAAAATGAGAATCCCCCTTTAACTAATAGACAGTTCCCAGTGCTAAGTTCTCCACACAGTATTTGCGGTTACTCAAAAAAAAAAAAAAAAAAAAAGTGTCATTGCAAGCCTCAGTAACAGACCGCCTAATATTAGACTGTAAGTGTTGGAAATAGGCTACCTTTTTTTGTATCAAGCACATACAGTACAGATCAGGTGCCAGACACCAAGTATCCAGGTCACTGACTCATTAGTGAAGGAAGAAATCGGATGAAAACCCTACAACGTGCACCTTCAAAAACAGCAAGAACAACCCTCACATTCTGTCTTTTACAAGTGAACTTTTAACTCTCATAGTGGGAATACAAAGAAATGTACAAACTCATATTTAATATCATTCTGTACATAAATATATATCCAAGGTCCAGTTACCCTTTAAGAAAATAATATCTGGCCACAATAGGAAAAGAACAAAAAAAAAAAAATCTTCAATAAATGAAGATGTATTCAGAGATATAAAAGGTGTAGATTTGTAGAAAGTGCGCCTAAAACGCCAACAGATGGCAGCAAAAGGCTGCATGCACAGTCACAGGAAGCACCGACTTAAATACGTCAGTGTGCTAAAAGGCATTGTTCTATGTACATCGGGAGGTGTGCAACTGGTGCTACTCTGACGTCTGCTTATTTGCTGGATCTCTGCAATGTTGTCAAAACAGTGACCTTCTTCGGGAAGAGAGCATTTTCGAGGGTTGAGTTAGTTGAAGGTCTTCAGGATCTCTCATCATTTTCCACAGATGTTCTTTTGCTCTTGAAGCATACTTGCCACTTAAAGACACCTCAAACTCATTGCAGCATCACCGTAAACTTGCCGAATCATGTCAAATGTCTGTGGCAGATTTGCCCAGTTTCATGCAGAATGTCACCTTTACTTTTAGTTCTAACTTGCCGTCCATGGTGAAATAGCAGACGTGGTAACGCACGTGGTCAGAGTATCACCAGTTACACAGCTCCCGAACCCACATCAAAAATAACCATCAATAAATACTGTATTACATGTTGTCCATACTTACCCAGTCACTATGGAATTCATTTTCTGTATTCTGCAAAACACCTGGTTGATCCTGCTGCTCTCTGTCTCCACCTTCTGTTCATGTCCCCAATTCAGCTAGGATTTTGCAGCTGTAAAGGCAACTCTGCACATGCTCATTTTTCAGGGAGTTTCTCTGCTGAGCATTTCCTCCCTGCCTATACAGTCACACATGTGGGTGTATAAACAGTGGCAAATGACAGCCCACTCCCTCCCTCCTCTTCCATGCCCACTAACCAGCTAAACACAATGGGGAAGTGGGATATTACAGGTTGATTGATGGAGGTTTCACCTACCTCTTATTCTAAGATACAGGTTGGAGGGGCATCACACAGCCTGTGACTGGTAGAAATCCGTCCACACCATGTTATTTCCACAAAAAAATAAAGATTTGATCTCAAATATACACTCATTGGTCACTTTATTAGGTACACCTGTTCAACTGCTTGGTAACACAAATTGCAAATCAGCCAATCACATGGCAACAACTCAATGCATTTAGGCATGTAGACGTGGTGAAGACGACCTGCTGAAGTTCAAATCGAGCATCAGAATGGGGAAGAAAAGGGGATTTATGTGACTTTGAATGGCACATGGTTGTTGATGCCAGACGGGCTGGTCTGAGTATTTCAAAAACTGGTGATCTACTGGGATTTTGACACATAACCATCCCTAGGGAAATCGAGACTCATCAGACCAGGCAACAATTTTGGTGAATCTGTGTGAATTGTAGCCTCCGTTTCCTGTTCTTAGCTGACAGGAGTGGCACCCAGTGTGGTCTTCTGCTGCTGTAGCCCATCTGCTTCAAGGTTCAATGTGCTGTGAGTTCAGAGATGGTATTCTGCATACCTTGGCTGTAATGAGTGGTTATTTGAGTTACTGTTGCTTTTCTATTATCTCGAACCAGTCTGCCCATTCTCCTCTGACATCAACAAGGCATTTTTGTCCACACAACTGCCACTCACTGGATATTTTTTTCTTTTTTCAGGCCATTCTCTATAATCCCTAAAGATGGTTGTGTGTGAAACTCCCAGTAGATCAGCAGTTTTTGGAATACTCAGACCAGCTTGTCTGGCACCAACAACCATGCTAAGTTCGAAGTCACTTAAACCCCTTTCTTCCCCATTCTGATGCTCAGAAGTATGAATTTCAGCAAGTTGTCTTCGCCATGCCTAGATGCCTAAATGCATTGAGTTGCTGCCACATGATTGGCAGATTAGCAATTTGGGTCACCAAGCAACTGAACACGTGTACTTAATAAAGTGGTCGGTGGGAGTATATTTGTATGCCAATTTAAAACAGCTTATTGATGTTATTTTTACTCTGTATTCCAAGGGCTGTTTTTTTTGTTTTTGTTTTATTTTGAACATGTGACCAGCAGCAGAGGACTAGAAGCTCGTCCTGCTTATGTTTCCCTGCAGACAGGCTGGGAAAGAGCTGGGTCATGTTACAGCTGTATATTGATTAGGAAAAAGGTACTTATGTTTTTTTTTTTTTTCGTTTTTTTTTAATTAAATAATGACAGTGCCATCATACACTTACAGAAATAGAAGGGACAATGTAAATTAAATGGTATGTGTCTAGTATCACTTTAATTGTGTAAGTGAAAATATGTCTGCTCCTTGCAATTCAGTTTCAGGCCTTTTGCAAAACTATCTCAATGGGCTAGCCAGAATTACAAGCAAAGGGGTCACAAATATACAAACGTTTGTAGATGCTAAGTTTGAGGCAGTAAGATTTGCAAAATAAGTACGTCTATTATTATTATACAAGATTTATGTAGCGCCAACAGTTTGCGCAGTGCGTTACAAAATGAAGGGGGACCGTACAGTTCAATACAAGAGGAATCAGAGGGCTCTATCCGTAAGAGCTTAAAATCTACTTTTGTTGCTCATTTGCTTGATAGCTGTCCCCCTGAATTCTAGAACAGTATTTCCAGTGATCACTACATCGATCTTATGGTGTTAACATCCCGAGACAAAGCCAGAACAGCTGGTGATCTGTCATACAATCCTTATCTGGGTAGAAATAATCTGTCATTGTGGCTGCCTGAAACTACGTGTGTTAAATGACGCGTGTTCTGGCCTTGGTGTCTGCATTAAACAGCTATTATAATGTGATTAATAAATGGAAAGTCACTTGCTCCCATCACAGGAATCCAGCTAACACCTCTTTTTAACCCCTTCTCAGGTAAAGTGCGTACTGAATCCTGAATTTAAAAACAACGGTTGCTCCAGTACTTACCTTGATTCAGGAAGTTGATGGCTTTCATGCAGACATATTCTTCATTGCTAACCTTCAGCTGGCTGAATTTTCGATACAAGTAAATAAGCCTTTCCATCACTTCCATGCCCTCCTCGCTAAATCTAAAAAAAGAACAAGTTTGTAAGTGATTTTTCCTTTTTAAAATGACACAGTAACACCATGTCAGATATTCACAATGAAAGGGTTTTAAAAAGTTGCTGATTTTTTTTATTGCAACACCAATAAAACAAAAAGTGTATTGAAAACTTTTAAAAAATACAGTAAAAAAGGAGAAAAGATATCTAAACTCAGGAACAAAAATGTAATTGCAGAAAAATACATATTTATCTTTCTAGATTCCCAGTGTTCTTGTAACTTCCTGTGCACTAAATTAATATCTTACACAATGTTATTGGTTACTGCATTTCACAGTTATCTTAGGTTAACTTTAAAATGCCTTTCTCTATGTAATGAAAATCAGTAGAGAGGAAGATGTTTGTAATCCCATTCAGGAGAGCAGCCTAGAGTGACAAAGCTCCCCATAGATATAGTGCAGTTAGTGAGCTTTGACATCAAAACAAATGAAAAAAAAGACAAACACAAAAATGAATGTAGCCATTAGCTACAATACAAGCGAAACGCATTGACCGTGAGAACTGGACAAAAGCATCTTGACTATACCTATGTCTGCTATACTTATTCTCATCAATGGTAATTTATGTCCTGTATTTTTAGAGGGAAACATAACTAGGAGAGGCTCTCAATACCGGAGATATACCCCTTTTCTGTTAATCAACATCTTTTTACTATAGTATGTTTTTAAAATTTGCATAATAAAATGTATCTTTGTTGAGAATTTGGTTTGTCTCATGCTGTGCCTTGAAAGTCCACCATTCACCAAATATATAAAGACCGATAAGCTGAAATATGTTAAACATTTTTGGGGGTTCAGATACGGTTTTAGATCAACTGCATTCTCTTTTCTATGCTAACCTAAAAATAACAGTTACGTTCTGCCTTTGTCTAATGCACATGTTATAGGATGCAAGTATAACAAATCTTTACGCAGTATTTATATAAACATTGCTTTTCACAGAAACCGTTCGCCTCTTAAACGTGAATCTTCTTGAAATGTCAAAGTCTTCTCATATACAGTTGTGTTCAAAATAATAGCAGTGTGTTGAAAAAAGTGAATAAAGCTCAAAATCCTTCTAATAGCTTTTATTTCCATACATACAAATGCATTGGGAACACTACTGTACATCTGTGTCAACCAACTTCTGGCACCTGTGAACAGGTATTCCAGCCCAGGATGATTGGACTACATTCCACAGTTCTTCTCTATTTCTTGGTTTTGCCTCAGAAACTGCATTTTTGATGTCACCCCCACAAATTTTCTATTGGATTAAGATCCGGGGATTGGGCTGGCCACTCCATAACGTCAATCTTGTTGGTCTGGAACCAAGATGTTGCACATGTACTGATGTGTTTGGGGTTGTTGTCTTGTTGGAACACCCATTTCAAGGGCATTACCTCTTCAGCATTAGGCAGCATGACCTCTTCAAGTATTCTGATGTATTCAAACTGATCCATGATCCCTGGTATGCGATAAATAGGCCCAACATCGTAGTATGAGAAACATCCCCATATCATGATGCTTGCGCAACCATGCTTCACTGTCTTCACAGTGTACTGTGGCTTGAATTCAGTGTTTGGGGGTCATCTGACAAACTGTCTCCGGCTACTAGACCCAAAAAGAACAATCTTACTTTCATCAGTCCATAAAACGTTGCGCCATTTCTCTTTAGGCCAGTCAATGTGCTCTTTGGCAAATTGTAACCTCTTCAGCACGTCTTTTTTTCAACAGTGGGACTTTGCGGGGGGCTTCTTGCAGATAGCTTGGCTTCACATAGGCGTCTTCTAATTATAACAGTACTCACAGGTAACTTTCTTCCATGGTAGTTTTTCGCTTTTCTTCCATGTCTTTCAGGTTTTGGTTGCCATTTTAAAGCATTTTGCGATCATCATTTTTTAGCTGAGCAGCCTATCATTTTCTGCACTTCTTTATATGTTTTTCCCCTCTCCAATCAACGTTTTAATCAAGGTACGCTGTTCTTCTGAACAATGTCTGGAACAACCCATTTTCCTCAGAATTTCAGAGACAAATGCACTGTAACCAGTATGTACAACATTTGCTGCCTTCCTTCCTTAACCTTCCTGGGGGTATTCCTGAGTGTAGCTTGGGGTAAAGTTTCAGTACCCACAAATAGTAACCCAAAGCTACACTCGGGCTTACTATGCGGCGCTGCTGGGGGATCTGTTCTTCACTTACCTTGTCCTTCGCTCCCGCGATGTCCCTCCTGCAGTGTCCCCTGTAATGTCCTCCGGTGGATGCCGGCATCTGTCATCTGGGTTCCGTTCCCTGCGACGTCGGGATGTACGGGGACGGAACGGCGGGAAATTTGAAAATGACAAAAAGTGACATTCACTAAAATCACATAGTAAAACATTACTGTATCAAACCATTTCACATACATTTTGTCCCTAGTGCTTTGTCCTGTGCCCTGCCTGCATTTTTACTGTTCTTTCTGCCTGGAAACTGAGAAATGTCCATGGCGTCCAAAAAGCGTCTTTAGGTCAAAAGTGGTTTTAGACCAGCTAGAGAACAGTGATAGTAAATCAGAACCACTTGCAGAATTGAGTGATGATTCGTGGGGAAATTCGTCATCAGACACTGAAAACGATTTTGCGACTGTGCTCAGTGATGTGCGAACTTGGTGCTATATTTCAAATTTCAGTGTTTTTGGTTTGATTATATTATTGAATTAAATTTATTATATTATTTTTTTATGATTATTTATGAAATTATAATTTATGATTTCGTGTTTCAAATTGTAACATACCCGGGATGTTTACTAGACTCTTGTTCGGACAGATTTCAGTGAGTTATTCCTAAAAATTACAGGCCTACAATAAAAAAAATACATATTTCCATGCAAAAAAATGTACTGCTTTGAGACAGAAATATGGACATAATGAGACCACTAGAGAGGTTAAATAAGGGCAATAATTGCCACCTGTTTTTCAAAGAATGAATGACCTCACTAATAGAACTCCACACTGCTATTATTTTGAACATGCCCCTTTCAATTAGTGATTCAATTACACAGAATCAGCAGCATGCATGTCATGACTGTTGGGTCTGTTGGATTTCTATTACTCTACTACACCTGCTAGTAAATTATTTGCCATGTAGAAATATAATTTCTACCAAAAACAGTGATTGATCAGGTTAGTGATGTCTGACTGCTATTATTTTGAACACAACTGTACAATATCCTACTTAAAAAGCCAAACTCCAGCTTTTAGTAACTTTGTGAGTTTGTTTTGGCCAAGTCAGCTCAAATTAACTATTGTCTTCACTAATGAATCCGCCTGTTGGTAGCACTGTACACAATGTATGTAGCATTAGTTACATACATTATACAGCTTTGTGATCCAGTAGTGGGCTGGGGACTTCTCACCCCGCTCCTGGATCAAAATCGAGATCTGCTCAGCCATTCACAGAAAGCTTTGTATCATGGGGGATGCGCGTGTGCTCTCCACCGGCGGATCACTTCTGCTGTGAACCGTCACAGCAAAAGCCAATCTGCCAGTCCCGGCGCAGGATGTTTGCTGGCACCTCCAGATTGTCGGACAGGGAGGAAAAACAGAGTTATGTTTACATTGGCACATCTCTGTTGTGGCAGGAGGGTGTGATCGATCGTGTTTCCCTGCAGAGTTGGCAACATGATCCATCACATCCTCTTGTGCCAGCACTGCCTAGTGTACACCAAGCACATGGTACACACTTGACCATTTCATCACCCTAGATGTTAACCTCTTCCCAACCAGTGTTATTAGTACAGCAATCAGTGTATATTTTTAGCACTGATCACTTTATTAGTGTCACTGGTTCCCACAAAATGTCACTTAGTGTAAAAATGTCCAAAGCAATATCACAGTCCCACTGTAAGTCGCTGATCAATACCATTACTAGTATTAAAAAATGTTTTAAAAAATTAAAAAATTCCAGTATATGTCCCATAGTTTGCAGACACTATACCTTTGGGGCAAACTAATTAATATACACTTATTGGGATTTTTTTTTTAACCAAAAATATGTAGCAGATTATTTGGCCTAAATTTATGAAAAAATTTGATTTTTTTAAAATATTTTTATTGGATGTTTTATAGTAGAAAATAATTTTTTTTTTCAAAATTATTGGCCTTTTTTTGTTTATAACACAAAGTAAAAACCGCAGAGGTGATCAAATATCAAATATTTGTGGGAAAAAGGGCATAAATTTCATTTGGGTTCAGCGTTGCATGACCATGCATCAGTTAAAGTGATGCAGCGCCATATCGCAAAAAACTGCCTGGTCAGGAAGGGGGGGGGGGGTAAAGCTTCTGGAGGGCAAGTGGTTAAGATTCTAAATTTCATGTCTAATATATATATATATATATATATATATATATATATATATATACACAGTATAGTCATACTGTTGTAGCTGTAAGCATGCTCTATATGCGCAGTCCAACATCTTCACATCCCTACCGAAATCATGGCAACAGTTCTCACAAATCTGATGTATGACTGTAGAAGAAAATTGCTGCATTCTCTTTCTCCTCAAGATCCCAATCTACTTATTACAAAATAAGGTAATCTTCCTTTAAGTAAGCTCCCAGTGTTAGGTAGACAGCTGTGTTACCCTTCATGGGCTGCCAGTTAAGTCCTCATGCACACTGGATGTTTTTACAGCTGCTGTTTTTGGCTTTTGCTGTTTTTTTTCTACAGCCAGTAAACTCCTCAGCATGTTATCCTATGTGTCTATGCACACATAGACTAATCAGTGTTTTTTGGCTGGAAAAAACGCAAGAACTAGCGGGTTTCTAGAGGAGTTTCTTAACTCTAAAAATGCTCCAACACTAAAAAACGCAGCAAAAGCAAAGGAAACTGGTGTTTTTTGAAAGACTTCTTTTGTAGCAAAAAAAATTAATTCTGGGAGGGGCCACTAAAAACCGCAAATGCGGAAAAATTCCACAAACGCCGCTAAATGCTAATGCAAAAATACTGAAT